ATTTTAATAACCTTGTGGTTGTTTGATTCAGTGATGTAAAATTTTTGCTTACTTTACTAAATAAGTGACAACGACCTATTGCTCCATGCTCCAGTAGACCCACTGACAACTGTCAAAATTTCATATTCTCTTCTCTATTTTGTAATTCAAAAGCCTAATAAAATACTTTCACTTCCCACCCACTGGCGCGAAAAATTTTGAAAATGAAATATTATAAAATTTTTCGGATATTATATGATACAGAAAACGTCACTTATTTCGATCGAGCCGTGCATCTGGCGGTCTATCTAGCTGTCTCTTCCCTAATTCTTGACCCCTGTATATTTTGGAAAGTACCTCTCGGATTTCGATGAAATTTTGACACAGTTATTTGTAGTTTTTGAAAATCGACCAAGAAAAGTTTTGTAGGGGTTAAAAATTAAGCTTTGGGATTGAAGGAAGCGTGGTGCTAGTATATTTATACAGTTCCTACCCCTGTAATTATTTGCATCTATTAGACACATTTAATATGTCATATGTAAATTCCCCCATACATTTGTCTTAAGTCAGAATGATAGAGGAATATTTTCTACATAAGCATCCCATCAACGACACGAACATAGATGTATACTTTATCTGAAGTCACTTGAAACACTGTGAAATACCGGGTGCGCTTTATATATCTATATTTAACACGCTCTGTTGCTGCAAAAATCGCCAAATTTCGCAGCAAATATCCCCCGTATAAGATCAAAGGCAGTTTCACCGGTCCACGTGGGGTAAAGCACGCCTATGCGTGGACATAGCCAATGAGAAAGCGTGTATTTCAGAGCTCCGAAAAAGTGCAGGTGGCTACTGAAAATTGAAACAGTTTAGCCAGTGCCGTGTAGCGGTGAATAAACGTGTTTTCTTTAGTCTGTCCGTGTTTTTTCATAGATTTTATTAGTTTGTGTGTTTTTGACTTTTGAATACTCAGTTTACTTGTTGATTTAATTGTTGTGTTGATTGTTCTTGTGTGTCCTAAATATGGCTCTTTGGAGACCTTGGGAAAATGCTCCAAGCCACGAGGAGATGGTTGATGAACCTGTGCAGGCAGAATTCTTTCATAAAGATTTAGAGGAACAGGCCCAAAGAGTAATCCTAAATATGTATGATTGTTTGAAAAACGAAAATCCAGATTCCTCGCAAAATCAAATTTTAAACAGAATTTGTATCCTGACAAAAATCAGTCGGTCTACCATTTATCGGGTTATAAAAAGGGGAGATGTAGTCAACCATTCCTTCCACAGAAAGCGCATAGGGCAAAAATTAAAAAGAATAGACGTGGGTTTTCCGGAAGATATTCGTCGTATAATATACGGATTTTATAAAGAAAATTTGGTGCCCACGTTGGAAATGATACGGGATAAATTAAAAGATTATCCTGAAGATTTTTATAATTACAAATGCTTAGACTCACTGCACTGTATTGTAAAACTGTGTGGTTTTCAATACAAAAAATTAGATAAAAGAATGGTGATTATGGAGTCGTCTCGAATCGTTGAATTGCGCCAAGAATTTTTGCACAAAGTTAAAATCTATAGAGAGCAGAAAAGAAATCTGATTTACCTGGATGAAACGTGGTATGATACCCATGATGTTGTGCAGTACGGCTGGGTTGACGACAGCAACAAGTGCATTTTAAATGCACCATGCAACCGTGGAAAACGAATCATTATTCTCCATGCTGGCAGTGAAAATGGATTTGTACCTAATGCCTTGCTGTTATCTGCCAAAAATATCAAAGAATCATGTGCCGACTATCATGAGGACATGACCTCCGACTTATTTGAAAAGTGGATAGAGCAGCAGTTAATACCAAACATTTCCCCAAATTCAGTGATTATTATGGACAATGCGCCATACCATTCCCGACAGAAAAACAAAATTCCGAATACAGGCACAAAAAAACAAGACATTATTGATTTTATGAAGGATACGGGAATGGAAATACCACAAAAATCAACCAAAGCCATATTATTGGATCTTATTAAAAGACAAAAATTTGAAAAAGAGTATGTTGTTGACAATCTGCTTCAGCAAAATGGCTATGAAGTATTGCGTCTACCTCCCTATTACTGCATTTTTAACCCGATTGAGTTGGTCTGGGCTGCTTTAAAAAAAAAAGTAAGAAAACATAATCAGACCGCTCAATTAAGTGAATCGCTATTGGCCACAATAAGAGATGCAGTATCTCATATTGCTGCCACAGACCTATGGAAGCAGTGTTCTAGGCATATTATTGAAAAAGAAAATGAATATTGTGTTTTGCCTCCTGTAAATCCCGTTATAATTCCTCTACAAGATGACTCTAGCGACAGCTCCGAAGGCGAGGATGATATATAAATACCTATAATGTAAGTCTTTATATACCTTTTTATATACCTACCTGCTATGTAAATATTTGCCTACGTCAAACGTTGGAATTCTGTAATTTTTCCATTTCTTAACTTTCAGTCAACATAAATTAAACTCCCAATATAAGTATTTTTTATCCCAAATCAAAAAAATAAGAAGATAGTAAAATCCATTTATTGTGATATAAAAACATTATTATTATCGTTTTAAATAAATCACCGCACGCCTATGATACGTCATGAAATTACAAAGGACGCGCCGACCAAAGGTTTTTATGCTATTTCAAGTGACTTCAGATATACCATACAAGCGTGCCTGCGGAGAGGTCTGATGTATCACCCGTCTGACTAGAGGTGTTGAAAAAGTCACTATTCGTTACCCGAGTACTCGTTACTCATAGATACCAGCAGTAACGAGTATCAATACGAGCACGAAATGATTACTTTGATTACTCTGTTTTCCGTATCCGTACCCGATTTGCGTACAATCGTTGAGAGTTGGGTTGAGTTAAATTCTATATCCGCCAATCAGAAAAAAATTAAGAGTACCTATTTACACCGCGATTCAAATTCGCTCTTATTGTTGTGATCTTGGCAACCTTAAAAGGGATAAGGAGTCGATTGGATTGGAGCAAAGTTTGGCAGTATTATGACTCAGAAAAGTGACTACAGGGTAACAGCACCGTTCACGAAAAGCACAATAATAAAAATTATGTCAATTTGATTCGCGTTTAGTTATCCTACATTTTGCTAAAAAATTATAATTCAGTATGACCACCAATAGTATGTGTACACTAAGCTCCACGTAGAATTTTTAATACTGGTACATGCTTAATTGAAATGCTTGGAAAAGTTACTTGCCATTCCAAATTTCCTTAAGCCCATATAATATATATAATCTATATTTCTAACTAAAAGACATGCTTTTTAAGCATTTATAGTCTAATACAAAGTATTTTCAGTTTTTAGGCGCTTATGAATCCATGGCTCTCTATCATATAATAAACACGGCAGATTTGTGTTATGCTTGGAAAATTTCAGAAATTTTATAGTTGTCTGTTTTCTTACAAGATTCCGTTCCATTAAGTTGTTCAAATTCAACATTTATTACATGCCAAATCGTTATAATCATACTACTGAGAGTAATCAAAGTAACGAATACTGTAAATGATTACTTTGTGCAAGAGTACCGACTAGTAACGAATACTCGAAAGTAAGGAGAATCAACAACACTACGTTTGACCGAAGGGTGGCTAGCGAGTGGCGACGTTAGTCATAACAACGTGGCCAGATTGTCGGTAATAGCGGTAGGGAGAAATCCCTCGACCGCCCCGTTGTCGAATGGGTGGTAACTATCGACTAATAATTGTATGGGGCTGTTTTTCCAGACGGGCTAACTTGTGCCGAACTTATTGTCACATTGGAAGGTGCATAGTCAACTTACTTGACGCCGTTGTTACACACGGTTAGGCTGCATTTTCCTTAAATTCGGCTGAAAAGAGTCACCAGCGGCGCCGGTGGTATTTACGAGCATCATTGCAATTCAGCCGGTAATTAATTAAAGAAACGCGGATCGTTTGCAATAGAAAGAGGAGAGAAAAGGTCGAAGGAATTACCATCGGATGCCCATTAAAAGATCCCCTTCTTGCGTCTCGCGTCGCACAGACAGACAAAAGGTACACGGAAGGTATTTATTTATGTCAGGAGCGCACCCTGAAATTAAATGGGATGTGCACGTAAATTTGCCACGTTTTATTGTCCTTTGGCCAAAAAAAGGACATCTTGCAGACGATGCTACAATTCAGATAAAAAAAATGCATAGGCTTCAAAAATTCAAAGGGACAAATTTTCTATATATCCTAATACTCAGTGAGGATCAATATCAATCACAGGGTTCTTAGGCACTGAAAGTAACTTAAATTTTAATGAAGGCTGAATTAAATTTTTGCAATTAAATACTTTATAATATATGTATTTTAAGCCGACATTGCCGTTTTTCACTTTTGTATTTGATTATACCCCGAAATTCGCATTTTCAGAAAAATATTTGTACACCCCTGTAAGGGTTAGTGGTTTGTAAATGTTGCAAGTTATATCATCAGTGAAGGATGACATATTATCAGAAAGCTTCTGTTTCCGAGAATAACAGCAAAGGAGGGGGCACAAGTCTTACGGAAATCAGTCATTGGTGAGTCTTGCTCAAACTTTCTAAATAAGCCCTCCAGAGCATCCTGATCAAAAGCATAAGCATTTCGCAATCTTATGAAGCATTTAAAAAAAAATTATCTGGGACAAAATTGGGACACCATATGAGTATTTTAGAAATGTGCCTCTGGATACCCATATAGTTTTCTTCGATAAGGTTTTATTTGGGAGCAATAAACAGTTCTTGCATGTTTGTAACGCCGTTTTGATCGGGATGCCCGGGAAAGCTTATTCCCAAAGTTCGAGCAGCATTCACCGGGGACCAATGCCGGGGACTGATTTCCGTAAGGTTTGTGCCCCCTCTTTTAAATGATACAAACCCCACGAATGCTGTGCTCGCAATATGAAATAATGCACGACTGATCCTTCGACGCGAGGTCGACGGCGGCAGGCAAAACCGACCTGCTTGGTGTAATTAGGTAGGGGAACGGAGGGTATTGCCGTACACATAACTATAAAATGTCCTTGTTACTCAAGTATTCATCAAAAAATATAATTATCGATTTGAATTTGCTAATAATTAGGCCTATTATATATATGCTTAACGACAGAAAATAAAAGTCACAATTATACCAGATAGAGCACTCTAATTGAAAGCAGTCTTTGTACGGCATTAACCGAATCAAGCGGGTAACGCCGTACATGTAGTCGTCTAATTTCGTACACACATCCATATATGCCATCCGTTTCATTAGTGTATTAGCGTAAAAAAACTGAAAATCATAATTTAACAGAAATATATTTAACTCAAAATAAACGGTAATGAACTTCTAACATAAATCATAAACTGTCTTTACATACAAAACACACAAAAATAATTAACTGCAGAATCATATCCGGAACATAAAGCGTGCGACCAGCTACCACAGCTGACGCACCTGTACCACAATTCGTTATCCTTCCCGAAATCACCACCTGTCTCACCTCCCCTTCCTTCAGAAAAATCATCATCTAACTCTTCTTCATCATCACATAGAACATGTAGATCTTCATCAGAAGATGATGAACTCTCCTTTATCATTTGTTTTTTAAAACTTTTTTATTTTTCCTCTTTTTAAGTTTTTTTGTCATAGTCTCAGAGTGTTCCTCTAGTTTCTTCTTTTTGGCGACTCGTTTTTCCTCAATTTTTTCTAAAACAGATTTCATAGGCGTCGAAGTAAGTAATTTTGATTGTTGTTTGGTCCGTTTACGTATACCTTTCCCTTTTGAAATGTGTTTCTTTTCAGGAGCTGGTGATATTTCACTAAAAGGTATTACGTGTTCAGGTGTTTCATTTCCCACAGGAGTCACAAAAAGTTGTCGTTTGGCATGCTCAATTTCTGTCTGAGTTGCAGATTTTGACGGAAGTGAATTATGAGCTATCTCTGGTTCTGGATTTCCAAAAAGTAACGAATTTTGAATTCCTGATGTTGAAGGGCGTGAGTCATCAGCGGATTAATTTGGTTCTGTATTTGTAGGTACTAAATATGACCTCTCATTAAAATCCATCGGAATGTCTAGTAAAGCAGATGATGCTTCCACATTTTCAGACTCCATCCTTATATCTACAATAGCCTGTTCTACGGAAATCCTGTCAGAAGCGTTATCATTTCCTTCTTGTATCAATTGACTGAAAACGTTTGGATTGAAGGGCCAAATGCCTGATGCTCGGAAACCACTAAGTGCTTTTTCTGCATTAGCTACATTCAAATACGCTTGAGTGAACAGTGGAATCAACTGCAGTGGCGTTAGTTTCTCATATTGATGGAGTTTCATATAGGCATCACATTCTTTATGTAAAGCTGTTTTCAAGGGACTGTAAACTGTAATATCCAGGGGTTGGGTCCTGTGCGACGTATGAGGCGGTATTGTCAACATAATAATGCCATTTTGGCGACAAAAATCGTAAATTCTCACAGAAATATGACTACTGTGGTTATCTAGGATCAATAATACCGGGTCTTCCAATGAGGGTTTTGTATATTCCGCAAAATGCACTAGCCATGCATAGAACAATTCTTCAGTCATCCACCCTGACTTATTACATCTATAACTTGAACCGTTTGGACATCCTTGCTCTAGTGACGGATGCATTCTCAACCGAGGATATATAATAAGTGGTGGAACATACTGGCCAGTTGCGCTAATGCAGCAACAAATAGTAATATTCTTCCCACGCTCCCAACTTGTGGCAGATCCTACTTGCTTAATCCCTTTAGGAGCAAGTATTTTACCTGGTTTGTGAACAGCGTTGATGCCTGTTTCATCAACATTAAATATTCTATGAGGACGAAATCTATATTTGTCGTATGTTGATGACAGATTATCAAAGAATATCTGTACCTCTGTGGCATTAAAGGCAAGAATTCTATTTACGCTGGTAGGTTCCGGGCGTCTGATGCTTATTTCAGGATTCCTTTTTAAAAACCCATACATCCAGTCTTTACCAGCTTCTTTTTTATCTTTATTGAAAGGATTTTTAATTTTGTTAGACTCCGCATATGTAAAAACTGCTGCTTTCAATGATTGTGGCGTCAATCCATAAAACATACTTGCCAGAAGTAATATTTGATCTCTAATTTCTGTCTCCTGTTCACGAGAGAAAACGGGTTTTCTTCCCATGCGAAATGAAAGATCATAGCTGTCCCTTTTTGAGTAATCAGATAATGTCATAACAGGAATACCATACAAAGCATCTGTCGGCCTCAACTTTGCTCCACCACGAATGTCCCTTATTGCACTTTTCATTTTTCTGGGCGACCAAGAGCACTTCTTTTTAGGCTCCATCTGTAAATAAAGTTTTTATTTCCTAATATCAAAGACCTGAGGGTCAAAATGATACAATTATGTACTGGGACAATTTCAAAAACAATTTTAATATTTTTCGTGAACTGATTATTTCGATGCGGCAAATACCGTACACGTGTACGCACTTTGCCGACATACTATCCTCCATGTTTAAGCAGAATCATGCGAAAGCGGATGATAGTATTACAACGAAAACAACTTATTTCATTAAAAAACAATATTGTTCAACAATTTTAACAATAAAAACAACACGTATACACATATTAAAGTACTTACAATTAAGTTTTCGAAGGTAAAATATTATATCCACGATCGCAAAAACACAGATCATGCTCTCGCCGCCATGTTTGAACACAGAATGGCGCGAACGGTTGTTGTGTCAGTTAACCCAACAAACCCGACGTGTGCAACAAGGAACGGTAGCTTTCTGACGTTTCATTCCTTTCAAACTTGACTGTACGAAATTAGACGCCGTACGGTAATACCCTCCGTTCCCCTAATTTGAATTTAAGCCTAGCTCAGGCAATGCACTAACCCTTTGGCATTACTTTGTGGTTGTGTTAACCGCAGAGAAACACATCTTACATCGTTTAGAAAGTACTTCTAACGATCCAATCATGACCCGAACTACATAAACTACCGTTTTGATACCAATGAATCTCACCCCATTGACATTTCAATTGATAGCCCCTGATAACACAACAAAGTGGAAAGAACGCAACGTCAGCTGAAATCACATTTGGCCATGGTGGCCGCATGCATGTAAACCAATCACGCAACGTATCGCCTCCAGTCCTGATGATGAATCGCGACCATCGTAAATTTGATCGCGGGAGAGCAGCGATGAGTTATGCAGTTACGGCGTTACGTAGAGGCGATCTGATGATGATGATGCAGCGATATCGAAACGAGCGTTCGACGACAGTGCGATCTGGTTGAGATATGAACCGCAGTGGTGGAGTCCAAGGACCAATAGTCTAATCATATCCCCGAGATGTCAGTTGGAACTTGTTTTGCCTAACCACCACACAAAGAAAAGAATCTAATACTAAAGATGAAACATAATTAACTGTACACTGAGACAGAAATAAAACAAGACATTAAAAAAATAATCACAATATACGTATTATCAAAACAAGCAGCACATATGCTCCGCCACTGGAGTGCAAGTTAAAAGAAAGGATATTATTCAAAACTACCTGACAATAAAATTATTAGACCGTAATAACTAACCCTGCAAAACGTTTACCATGGTACACCTAAGAAGGCTTTACAAATATAGGCCTTACAAATAGTTTAATGCCTGAACCTAAAGTTATCTGGATAGTGGACTTATGTGAATAATGGTCTCCTTCCAGTTACAGCGCTAGGCACAGCTGAGATGTCCTCAGCTCACAAACGCTCAGGTGAAAAACCAATGGCAAGTAGTAAGCAGTGACTCAAGGAACGTCACAAGGTAGGGGCTGGTTGCCTCGTTACTAAAATTTCCGGTATAAAAACCCTAGACAGAGAGAAAGAAAAATCTACTCTCTACTCTATGTCTGAGATAAAGCTGCTCATTTAAAACACTCAAACTTGAAGAAAAATCCATGTACATTCTCTGTTACTAGAAATTTACTTTTTCTTTCTGCAACGGCAAGAAAAGATAAAAATATACCAAAGTGATATGCCCTCAGAAAGTTATCCCTTATTCTAACATATGTTATGGCAGCTCAAAATTCAAAATCAGGATTAATAAGCCCAAAGGACAGTGACATGTAGGCACTGCCACATATTTGAATACGTAAAATGCTAAACAAAATCAAGAACACTCTAAGAATTTCAGTCAGCAGCAATCAACCTATTAATATCTATAAAATACCCAATTTAAATAAAGTCTTACCTGTTCACATCAGGATTTTTTGTCAAAGGCTTCCAATAAAATCGGCTGCGAAACAGCTACAAGTCAGCTACAAAACAAAGCTGGCGGAGTATGAATAGCGGTTCTCCGCAATTCCTTTCCACTAAAAGGAAGCAGACATTGAACAAATTTCAGGACAAGCATTAATGGACCTGGTCCGATGGTATATAAAAAAGAACTTACCGCTGAAGGTTAAAATCCCAAACCAACACAACTAAACGTAAGGTACAAAATAAAAGGGTACTACTCCATAAGCTGGTGTTTGGGGCGTTAATATCCCAAAATCTGGAAGTTAACGAAAAACACGCCCACACACAACCAAAACTACAGCAGAAAGAAAAATAAAATGGCGCTGGATCGTCTGCGCACGCAACCCCCTGAAAGAAGGTTAAATAAGTGGCCCTGAAGAAGGCACGTTCGATAGAAAATCAAAAGGAGCAGATAAAATCCGGTAAAGAAGGTATCTTGATAGTAAAGCAAATTTTATAGATCTTGATAGGAAGGTAAACATACATATACGGCTAATACGTGTAGGCATCACAAGGTGGCGCGCTGGTTGCCAATGGGCGGACTGTAGGCAAAACCAAATCTGTCTACGAGGGACCAACAATATTTTATGAGGAAATTTCTAAGATAGTCGTTAATAACACTATAACGTTAGTGTCCAAAAGATTTCAAAACTATACTGAATCGCTGAGAAAGAAAGATATAATACGTGAGAAATCTTTCAATCAATAAACTATGGAATTGGACAAAAAAAAATCATTAAAAAAAGGGTTTGGTCTAGAAATTGGTGCTCTATAATCAATAAAGAGTAATTCAAATTACTGATAGGTGCTCAAAATAGTAAAAAAAGGGTTACGTGATTTTGACACTTGACAAAAGATTGATGATTGCAGAACCGCAGGACGGAGGTTCGTATCCACAAAGCTCCTTTTTTCTCTATTATTTTTTTTAACTTGGAGAAATAGATGCTTTCTCACATTGTGTTCTTTTATTGCGATCAAAGAGTTTTTCGCACGCGATAAACAATTTATGTGTTTATATGTTTTTTTTATATTACTTTGACAAAGTTTCGGAAACATTATGTCGGATCATAGCATAACACGCTCAAGTTTTCGAACGCGATCAAAATGGAGCCGCAGAGGATGCTTATAAAATTAAGTGAGCTAACCTACGGTTTTTGTATTTATCAAGTTACTGTTGAGCGTAGATGCTCATTTCATCAACAGCGTAGACATTTTTTCATAGTTTGTATTTTGTATTATGGCAGCATAACGCAAAGGAAATCTCACTTTTCGGGTGTGATGAGAAAGAGGATGCCCTAGCACAAC